CTCTCTCTCTCTCTCTTCTCTCTCTCCTTTCCCCTTTCCTTCCCACTCTCCCTCTTTCCCTTCTTCTGTTTAGCCCTCCCTCCCCTCGCTCATTCTATTATCGCTTTGTTTTCCCCTTTTTTCTGTGCATAGTCCTTATCTCTCAGTCTTGTCCTGGTGTGTATGTGATCTGCAGCGTCCGCGGTTGGCCAGCCGTGCTGCTGCAGCGCTGTACCCGGAGGTATGCAAAGACACGGGCGCAGGACACACGGCCGCTATTTCCGACCCTCGCTGGACACGGCGTTGGTACCTCGCGAGGCAGTGTGGCAAGTCTGATGGCATTCCTCACCTCACGCTAAATACCATGCAATAAGCAGTGATCATGTGAAAAGAGAGGCGTTGCCAGTGTCCGATTGATTTTTGTCAACCCATCTATTTTCCATTCGTCATCTGCCGCAGAAACTGCTTTGTGGTGCTCATTCCCGCTGATTGGATGGGATTGATATTTATAACCTGTGATATAATTCATTGAGCGTACTTGGGTGCGGTGATATTGGTAATGGGGCCGGGAGTTTGAGTACAATTGGCTGACCTTTGCGGTCGTTTGAGTCAATAAATGATCGGCGTATCCAATTGGCGGGCGAGAACAGCCAATCGCCTGGGCGGGCGGTGCGCAGCCGGTGGAGTGGGTCGTACCGTCACTACACACACAGTTCTCGTTTCGACTGGGCCCAGCGCTCCGTGACGTTTCATGTTGACTGCCATTGTCCGGTAAATTTGGGCCGTGGGGTGTGGAGTTTTCTGCCGTTGCTTTTCTTTGACGGCATCGCAGTAAACCACGTCGCAGTAGTTCCCTCGTGGCTTTGGGTGCGGTAATACAGTGCTTGCGCAAATTGCGGGCATGGGTGACGCTGATTTGCACCGACGTTAAGGCTGGTCGGAAAAATTCTGTCTTAGTCTGCGGCATGGTTTACTGGCCTAGATTACGACGTGTCGGCGTGACCGCTCGATGCGGGGAAAAAACAATTTCTCAGAGATGTGTTTGTCCGGACAAATATTACCGTTCTCGCGGACGTGTGTGCTGCGCAAATACGTGACAAAGCATCCTGCCGCGCTGCTGCTCGCCTTGGCAGTTGCGTTTCTAGAAGCAGGCGCGCGGCATGGCATGGCGATTCATGAGACAATCGTGCCATGAACCACTGTGTGTGATGCGGACGAGATGGGCGGCGATTCGTTATCTCTCATACGCCGCTCGAATGCGTATGAATCAGAGATGCTGAGGTGGCTGTGGTTCCTGCTTTTTGTGAAAGATTGATGCGAGCCATGCGGTGGTGTATGGGAGGAATCCACCGTAAAAAGTAATGCCCTCAACCTTTTCGGGCGCCGCTTCACCCGTTCCACCATGTGCTGATAAACAGTAACAATGGTCAGCGGGATAAAGAAACGGCTGACAAGAACGCGCATTCTGTTGCGAGTGATTCTTAAGCTGTTTTATTCTTACGTCTATATCGGCCATGTGAAATGTTTTGCAAACCGCTGGGACCACACGCTTGGTTATGTACGATTTGTCCGAGTTAAGTTTACGCGTGGCAGTCGAGAGAGAGGGTTGTAATACGCACATGGTCGCGATGAAAAGCGAAGTTCGTTATTGCGTACCATGAATGACTTCGAATGGCCTTCTCTCCCCCCCCCCCCCCCCCAAACGCTGTAGCACTGCTATTTGCCATCAGCGCGTTTTAAATTCAATTTTGGTGCGGAAATTTGTCTTCATCTTATCCAGATTCGCGTCGCAAGTTCTGAATTATTCGTTCCTATGTGTAGCCGTCGACATTATCGGAGAGGTCGCCGACTGATTCGGAGAAGCCACGTCCTGGTCCTCGGCTCCGATGGTGTCATCGTGCCTGGGGGCCGTTTACGGACTATGTGAAAGGCGAGATGGACGGACGGTGGTGACCTCATCTGGCCAGCGTATCGTCTGCCGTGAGGGTGACGTGCCAGCCCCTGCCCGGCGTGACCCTGGCTGCGCATCCGGTGCTTGTCAGATGAAATTGTGATTTGGCCGAGCGATATATAGCCGCATGAGCTCAAGGACAAGCAGAAAATCGTAACTTCCAAAATTTGTTTTTCAGCTTGAACAAATGAATAATAGCGGATATTGGCGCTTACAATAGAGAAACGGGGGGGGGGGAGGGGGGACAGCTGCTAATACGCTCAGAGCGCCGGCACAGCCGGCAGTGGCGCCGGCAGTGCTGGTGCCGGCAGTGCCGGTGCCACTGACGTGTGTAGACTTTAACTGGGGACGATGTTAGATTCAAAGTTGCTTAGAAACTTTGTGTCGTAAGAAGGGAGCACTGGCATCAATAGGAGTTTCCATCAGTGTGTGGAAAGAACAAAAACAAGGCGCGCGTAAGGAGACGTGTCGCGATTTTCTACACGTGGAGCTATACTAACGTTGTGGCTGAGACATACTGTCCTCGAAATGAGCGCCAAATAAGATATGTTGGCTTGTTTCCTGAGCTGGAGCTACGCATTCTGTATGATTCAAAACGAAGTGTGTCCGGCAACACAGTATTTTCAGCTCAAACCAATGCTGGTTTTCCGGCATCGCGAGTAGTGCTAAAACACTCCACCTTTAAGCATTGGTATCATGGGAGTATCGCTGGGTTATACTTTCAAATGTTTACGTTTTCAACTGTGCTCGGGTTCAGTTCTCGAGTGGTGCGGGTTAAGATTAAATATCTCAAGTGAATTGGCAAGGCCCAAGGACTATCGTGTTATTGAACGATTTATGAATGCCACAGTCTCTGAAAATGTGTGGCTACTTTGCTGCGTACGTATTCCCACTCTGGCTTTATGACCTGACCTGGCCCAGCTTGGCGTGGATCGCCTCGGCACCCGCCTTCCGCGTTTTCCCAGCATAGTGAATCGGTCGCCCTATGGGTTTTCAAAACCATTTTGGTAGGCCGCTGATGCTGCCGGGCGAGTTTATATGCCATTTTTAAAGGTGGATTGCCGCTTCGCATGGCGAAACGTAGCTTAAAACTTTCTTATGCGGATGAGGCCCGTCTGATTATCAATGTCCTGAAAGCTAATTTTACATTTACATAGTATTTGTCGTGGAATTGTTTTATCGGGCTTCTTTCTCGTTGTAAAAACAATATGATAGAAATCGAATAAACGTGCATGTTTTCATTCGAGAGGAATTACTGTGTGGACCAAGTTAGACGCGTAGTTTCGACGTTTGTAGCTAGATGGCGCGATGCTCAGCATACGTAATGTTAGATTGTACCGCAATGCGCGGCGCCAGCCTACCGCTAGATGGCAGCGTATTCGGCATGCAGTGTAGTAGACTGCGCCGCAGCACATCTACGGGGGTGGCTCGCCGTCTCCACGTACGTTGTTTGAGCATGGTATTTCGCATCGAATGCACCGCCACGCCTGCTCCAACCCGGTCTTATGTCTTTGACACCAGAGTAGAAGCTGGCAAGTAACTTTGGTCAAATGCCTTGAGCGCTACTACTCACACGCAAAGTTTTTGCCGCACCTGAAAAACAGCAAACTCCGGCCCGCGCTTACGCTCACATCTGCATTGCAAATGCTGAACCTGGGCCCCTAAGCAGCGCGTCCGCTCTACTGAATGACGTATTGATTCTGTGGGGGCCGTGAGTCACGACGTCTGGCCCGTCCGGGCCGTGCCCGGTGACTCAGGCGACGGGCGGTGCGCCCGTTGACTCCGGCGACGGGCGGCGCGCCCGTTGACTCCGGCGGCGGGCGGCGGGCGGCACACCCGGTGACTCCGGCGGCGGGCGGCACACCCGTTGACTCCGGCGGCGGGCGGCACACCCGGTGACTCCGGCGACGGGCGGCACACTCGGTGACTCCGGCGGCGGGCGGCACACCCGTTGACTCCGGCGACGGGCGGCGCGCCCCGTCGCCGGTTGTACGGCCCTGTAGGCGGCGGCGGGCCGCTCTCGGGCGCGGGCGGGCACGCGGCCGTGACGTCACGCCGGCCGGTCGATGGGCGGCCGGGCGCGCCGCCACACCCCATTCTCGGTCGACGCGCGGAGCCTGCCGGTGCCGCCCTTCCCTGACCGGTGCGGAGCTCTCTTTCTCTCGCTCTCTCTTTATCTATCTCTATCTCATAGGTGAGGTCGCTCCTGGCGGCCTGGTGGGGCGCGCTGGGTCGTCGGCTCAGCCGGAGGCGGTGACTGGGTCGGGCCCGGCCAGCCCGTTTGGTGCCTGGTGTTTGGGCAGGATGGAGCTGCTGACGGAGGGAGCCATCGAGCGTCCGGCTGGCGGGCGGGCGAGACGGCCATTTTGGTGTATCGAAGGATACGTCAGTGAGTTTGCCTGTTTCGTCACCGGGGGATGTCGGAATGGGTCGCCGTTGTCCCTTTGAACCGCTCTGGTTTGTCTGAAAGGTTTGCCCAGTCCGGTTTGTTTGACGGGATCGTCGACCGCCGCGCTTCGATTCCAGGCTAAGCTGTTGGACGTCTTTTAAACGTCGTCCGCTGAGCTTGGTTTGAAGGTACTGCTGCCGTTGCAGGTCGCAAGAGACCGCCATTTTTGGCAGGAATACGGCTGATTTCGCCTTCTGTCGTTGAGTATTCCTGTCGTAGCTGTTCAGATCGCTAGATGGGGTATAGATTCTGGCACGCCGTCGCTGGCGGGTAGTTTTTGTTTCTTACGGCCGGTGTAATCTTTTTAGGGCTCTCTGGCTTAGGAGCCTTAGACTTTAGAGCCTTTCTAGGGCTCTCTGGCGGGAGGAGAATCACATTGTACGTTGAGTTGCCGTCGGTGTTCGATCGATGATAGTGCGCGCGCGTTGGAGTCGAGGAAAACATTTCTTTGGCCAAAAAAGGCAATGAGGGTATTTCATGGCGTTCAGTCTAATCTCGTATTGCACGAAAAACGGATTGTATTTGTTCATCCATTCCATGAAAGGCCACAACCCGTGTGCGTCCATACGTCGGCCCCACGGGAACCTGCCGCCGTGCGTCTCGTGCTGCTTCGTGCCGTGGTGCTGCACGCACCCTGTGGAAGGTCAGCCCTTGACGTAGGCCACCTACTGTGCTGAAGCCAACCGGCCGGCACGGTTCCCCGGCAAGCTCCGCTTCCCAGGCACTCGCTGCCTTTGCTGGTCAGTCACAAACGGCCTCACCTGGACGACGTAAGCACTGGTGTGTGACGTTGCTTATCGCTTACCTGCCCCAGGTGCCTCAGTTCACAGCAACAAGTCCGGCCCGTCAAGATCGCTGATAGAATCTTGGGCGCTGTGCTCACACCTGGCTCGGTCGAGGAGCCTCGAGCCGATTGATAGAAGCAATCACTTAACGCGTCGGACGGGCCGCCGCCGCACGCCGACTCCATTTCATCAGACGCGTTTCAGCGGTTATAGCTTTATTGGGCCGTTCTCTCGAGCCGAAACTTTACGGTCGGGCTTTCTGATCCAAGGGCGCAGTGAACTCTGGCTTTTCAGTGGTGGAACTGAACCGGGATGACTTCTGCCTGGAAACAATGGTCTCGCTAATGCGGTCGATGATCGACCGCCATTTTTTGTCGGTGTCGTCTCCATGGGACTCAGCGGGGGCATGATTGATCTCGTGGCTCGGATTTAGACGGGTGATCGCCGCTGTCTGGTCGTGGTCGGAAACTGGCAATCATGGCCTTGCGTGTGTCCTGCCGCCCGTCACGAACGGCTCCGTACACGGCATCTGCGCCGGGCAGTGGTCCGGCGCCCGCAGCATGGGGCTGAGGACGCTCCGCCTCGAGCTCCATGTCCCGCCGCGGTATGAGTTCCTTCTGGTTCGGCCTGGTGTGGGTCACGACCTGCCTTGGTAGGGCGCGCTAGTACCGGTGGTACCTTGGCACCGGTCTAGACTGTGCTCACATCTCGCCTTCCCACTTTGGCTTCTGCGGCTCAGTTATTGCCCACGTCTCGCCTCGCTGCGTCTGCGCTCTGTAGGGTCGACCTGTGCCTGCGTATTCTTTCGTCGCTGCTGCGTGCCGTCCTGTGCGGCGCGCGCGTGCCGCCCGGCCGCCGCGTCCCGCCCCGCCGCTCGTGTTTTGAGCCGGCTGCGGCCCGTCCGGCGGGCCTGACGGCATCGCCGCGCGTCTCTGCTCATCCATCGATCCGCGGTCGGCGGTCCGCCGCGCCGGCGAGTCGGCGGCCCCTCCGCCTTCGCCGTCTGGCGCCGGGCGCCGCGCCGCGCCGCGCCGCGCCCACCCGCGCCCCAGCTCCGCGGTCCGGCGGTCGGGCCAGCGCGCTGGGACGTGTCTTGGTCGTGTTTCCAGGCGCGACGAGATGGCGACGGAAATGACGACCTCCCAACGGCGTCGTTATTTTCTGGACATCCATTGTGATAGGACGCCGCCCGTGGTCGGCCGAGGTCGTCGCCCAGGCCGTGCCGTTAGGAAGTTTTCTCCTAAGGCATTTGGTAAGCACCATGTCTTTGGGTGCCGCGTTGCCGTTCTTTTTTTTGTGCTTTCCCTTCTCTCAGTGGGATAGCGCTGGCTGCATTTGTCATTTCGAGCGTCTTTTCTTCACATTCTATTAACGTCGCCGTGCCAAGTAGTCGCCGAGCCGGAGCCAATCTGCCGTTCGGTTGCCGCCGTAATCCCGCCAGCGTCCCGCCGCTGGTCGGGCAGCTCATTTCCGTCCGGCCTTTTAACCCGGTGACCTATACTGAACTGGTGTCGGCGGCCGCGTGGGAGGCAGGTATCTTGCCTCGGCCTGTTGAACTCCAGACGAGTGGGCACGAGTAGCGCAGCGCGGCGTCCGGTGCTCACGGTCAAAGGTCGGGGGTGGTCGCGCCTCCGCTCTTCTCGCTCTGGGCCGTCAGCTGCGCCAGTTGACCTTTCTGCTAGCTGTCGCTGCTAAAGAGGCCCAGGGTGCGCGGCGGCCGGCCGCCGACGCTCGGCTCGGACCAGCCGGCGCGGCGGCCGGCCGTCGCCATGGCGACCCCGGCCGCTGCACGTTCATCACGGCGGCTTCCGTCAGCAGCTCAGCCCCGCTCAGCCCGCTCCCGCTCCGCCAGCCCCCCCCCCCCCCCCCCCCCTGCGTCTGAGAGCTCCGACCGGCCGGCGGACGCTGGCACGCCGTGCTGACGCCGCTACGTCTCAGGGTGTCGTGAGTGCCGCGTGCGGTCTCGCCTTCACCTGCCCGCCCACCTGTCCGCCGCCGCGCGCTTCGCGTCCACCCCAGCGGCCGAGCAAGATGGCAGCCGAGGATGTGCGGGTGGCCGAGCCGCCCAAGCCGGAGATGGACGAGGACAAGCCCATGTCTCTGTAAGCCAAGCGCTGCCCGGCGTGATTCATTCGTGGATGTCGCGGCCCTGTCGGCCTTTCTGTTCTTCATCTTGCCGCGCTCTTCCGGTTCCCATTCCCTTCCTCTCCTTCTTTCCGTATCCCGCACGTTGTTCCTCTTTCGTGCCCTGTGGGCTTGCTCTCATCTTACCGGTCCCCAATCTCCTCTCTGCCCGTTACCCTCTTTTTCTCGTTTTTCTTTTCCTGCTTGACCGCCCTTCTGTCGTGCCGTTGCATGTGACCCCGGCAGCAGGCCGCCTGGCGTCGCCGTCTCGCTGACCCCGTCGTGCTGAGATGCTGTGCCGCCGAACCTGGCGACGCGCCAGAACCGGCGGGACCAATCAATGCCACTGCCGGACCGCGGGGACCAATCAGCGCGCCGCACGGCCTGCTGGCTGGCATCCCGTCAAGTGCAGATGCCGCCCGACGCGATTATGTTGACAGCCGTTCAGCCAGCGGCCGCAGCTTTACGCGCGCGGGAACGTTTGCCGATGGACTTGGGTCAGAATCGGATCATAGTTAGTACGAGAATCGTGTATCTGCGCGTCAGGGAGATTTGCTGACCGGTGTGTGACGCAGGGGACAGTCCAAGGCTTTTGGTCGCTGTGGCCATGCGGCCGGAATCCCTTGCGTGCGATTGTGAGGATAATTTTAAAAAGTTGCCTACCCATCTTGGATGAAACGTTGCTACTTCCAGTAATGCGAATAATTATTAGGGCAGCCACGTTTTTCTGTAGTTTAGCTTGATGTCACGCTTTAAGGAGCACTGGTCTCTTTTCCAACGAAATGTCATTCTTACGATAGCTCATCCTACACAGATGACCTATGCATCGTGCGCTTTCTCGCAACGATCCGGATGAGCTCTTGGCCTCCTGTAGAACTGTAAACAAAACTCTCAACCATATTAATGAAAGGTTCTGCTGCCCTGTGCAGCGACAAGGCAGGACACACTCTCACCGGCGGTGTGTTCGCTCTCATCTTCTCGGCGCTTTTGTTCCGTCACTGTCGCTGGTTTACCCCGAACGCCGTCTTTCTTGCGTGCTTCAGTGGCGTGCGTTTTGTCACTACTGAAGCCCTCGCATTACCACGCATTCAAAGACGCCGTATGCTTCGTCTCTTTTGGCTACGCTGGGATCTCCCTAATAAAACAGGAAAGAACTACTGGGAGAAATACACGGTTTTGGCTGGAGCTAATCCATCTGCAATCACTGGGGAGGAGGGGGGCTGGGGGTGCTAACGAACATAAACGTGGCGAAGAGGAGCACCACCGGCCCAGAATGCCTGAATGTTGCAAGACTACTGTAGCGTCTTGAAATGTTAGATCCAGTTTATGACGATTCATGAACATCGACGGCTGGTGGCTATGGGACAGAAACATAACTAATTTTTACCGTTCAGAGCAACGCAGCACGTTGTAGTGCCTTTATCGCCGTTCTTATTGTTATACCATCCAAACTGCGCGATTCCTTGACATCCCATGTCACCATAAGTCACAGAAACCCAGAAACCCCGAGACGTTATCGTCGCTTGTCTTAGGTAACTTAATACAAGTGATTTTTAGACATGATCAGAGATCTTGCTGGCGTACGAACATTCAAATGCAGGGCAAATTATACAATGTCCAAGACAGAATCTAACAGATCATCGACCCAATGGTGTTTTCATTTTAAGGTTAAGTACGAAATGCATTTTGGGCTCAGCAAACCTCCAAAGGATATGTCTCAGCATCTGAAGCAATTTTGGGATGCATTGGGCGACAACTGAAGAAGAGCGGCTTGATATGACATAAACCCTTACCTGAAATGTTGTATTTTAAGTCTTACCCTGAATTTGATCGGACATGCAAAAGTGTTTCAATCGCCCTTTTGGTTCCACCGGTTCCGGGGATGGCGGAAAATAGTTTTCCCTGCTATACTCGCTGGCCCTGCGCCCCGCCATCGGCAAAGTTCGAGCAGCACTGACTAGATCAGTACTGCGTCCGTCCCGGTAGATTTTAAGGGGGTCGCGTGCTTCATTTCAAGGGAGGATTCCACGGTTGTATGGGGCTTGGAACTGAAATGGTCATGTTAAAGATCATTCGGTGCATCGCACAGCCCTGCCCTTTTTATGACCTAGACCCCTCTAGTTTCTGAGCTACACGGTCGCGAAGATGTGGACACTATTTCGTGGAGACTATTTCAAGGCATACTCACGCCATCCATTACGCCATAATAGCGTCATTAAAATGCTGTCATTCGATTGGCCGCGTGGCAATCAAGACAAATAAAATGGAATTGTGTCGTTCATATCTGGCGTTCGTGAGCACGATTTCTAAATATAACGGCCTTCAGTTGGCTATAAATCAATGTTGTGCAGGGTACAATGGCGTATGGAGAAACATATTGACTAAACGGGGAAATTGTGTTGTCTAGAGCAGTCTTTTCCACTTTAAAGCATACCAATAGTTAGAAGTGAGCTGATTTCATCATATTTGGTGCTGGCTTCAATAATTTTAAATGTAAAACGTTCCCTTTGGGACATTGACAGTAGTTTGAATCAAAAGACGAGCAGGGGAATGTTAGGTAACACACACAAAAAACAAGAGGTGAAAACATCACACTTACCCACAATCAAGCTTCCCAACCGTGTAGTGCATGTTGTCGTCGTCGAAAGTTGTGTCAAAGTTTTCGTTGTCATCGATCTCTGTCTGATCGATGTAAGGTTGGGTGGCAGCCTCGTCCCAGAGCTCGCACAGGACTTAATATCCGACCTAGTATTAGAGAGCTGCAGTCAAGTAACTCTCCCTCGGCGCCCGTATTTCAGCCGCCAGCTGCCATAGTGTTGCATAAATCACCTCCCGTGTATCCTTATGCCGCCGTAACTTGCGCCACCACCATCGCCACACAGTCCAAACACATAAACCGCCGCGGCGGTGCGATACGTGTCCGCCGGGACCACCGCGACCGGCGGTCTGCCCCCCCCCCCCCCGCCCCCTGCCCCCCGGTGGTACGAGCTGGGAAGATGACCCGCACGGCCCCAGCCACATCGCGGCCCGTCACTCCGTCAGCCGTCCCACTCGGGCAGAACTGCCCGCGTATGCTGCCGAGCTGTTAAAGAGCGCGTCCAGTCACCGTCCTCGGGATGGGCGGGCCGCGCCAGCATCAGGTCACTCCGGCTGCTCGATAGCCGCCAACCCAGCGCCCGAACAGACACGGCCGAGAGGCTCCGGCCGGCCGAGAGTCCCGGCAATGCCCCCCCCACCCCGCCCCCCGCCCCCTCTCCTCTCTCCGTGCCGTAGGTCGGTCGGTGGCGGCTGTGTAAATAACGAATGGCGCGACGGACGCGGCGTGGGCCATGCAGGAGCGCGGTGCACACCTTGACCTCGCCGTCGCGCTGAGCTCGCTGCCATGGTCCGCGTAGTTTGACGTGTTGTGTGCATGCGCATCCGCACGTACGAGCGGATTGTCCTGTCTGTTTTGTTACCCGGAAGCATAAGTCAGCTAGATTTATCGTATAGCGCAGTTGAGTACAGCTGGCACGAGTTGTCACGTCGATGACGACGTGTCATTGGTCATCATGCACGCAGCCGGGCGGACAGACATCATGTGACCTCCGATCACTGGTGTTGACCTGGGCCCATGGTCTGCCAGCACTACTAATACGTGTCCACGACCACTGGAGCCCGGTACTCACGCTGACGACAGCCTGCGTTGATGCTGACCCTCCGCTCGGCGGCCGTCGCAGCTAGCCTGAGCCCTCCCGCTCGGTAGCCGGCCGTGCTGAGCGCCGCCGCTCGCAGTCCCGGTCGCGCCGCGCGCCGCCAACACCTCACGCGCCGCTCTTCCGTCCGCCAGGTACCAGAAGACGGAGGCGGCGCTGAAGACCACCGGCGAGAAGGCGTCCGGCCTGTTCGCCGGCCTGGGCGCCAAGTTCAGCGAGGCCCGCGAGTCGGCCACCTTCAAGTCGGTCGAGGAGCGGGTCGGCACCATGGTCACGACGGTCAAGGTCAGTCAAGATCGAGGTCGGCGGGGCACGGCTCAGCCACGGGCTGGCGCCGACACGCGGCCGTGGTGTCCGTCTGGGTGTTGTGACCCGACCCCGCTTTTGGTGAGACCACGGGCCGCCTCTCGAAGGCGGGAACGTTTCGCCGTAAGGCGTCAGTGAACCGGTCTGAGCGCTGTGCGTAATACGCAGTCGGCGACTAAGGAGACGGCGGGCTCAGAGCTCCGCCCAGCCGCTCTCTCGGGCATTAGAGGTGTGCCGTCCCACGCTGTCGCAGTCGGCGTCAGCGCACGGGTGACGACGAGTCGAGTACGCCGGCCGCCGCCGAGATCGGCTGAAATATGTCGCGCCGATCCCGCGGGGCTGGAGGCCGTCAGGCTGCTCAGTGATTTGAAGCGCTCCCCGGAGCCCGCCGGCGTGAATTGCCGATAATCGACCCACCGCGCCGCGGCGGCGGCCGGCCAGAGGCGGCTTTGGCGCACCGGCCGCGGCGGGGGACGGCCCTATCGTCGGATCAGAGCGGCCTGATTGCTCCCGGCGGGGCGTGTTTGTGAACGGCGCGCGACATGCAGCCCCGGCGAGTAGCCGCAGCTCTGCCTCGCCGGCTGACTCGGACGCCTGAGGCCGGTGTTCAGTCGGCGCCGGTCGCGGCGTGCGTCAGCCCAGCACGAATGCGGTCTGGTCGCCGGCGCTGCGGGCGTAACGATCAGTGCAGCTCGACACGGTCGCTGCCGTGCACGTGAATTGCCTGGCGCCACGGCACGGGACAAAAGGCGCCGGGTGCGAAATGCTGCACTTGCTGCCTCGTGAATTATGCAACAGTTAATTTTGTGAGCACAACATGAACCAGTGGCTCGTAGTCAAATGAAGCCCGGCGCACCCAGTTGAATGGTGTGAATGCTGTGTTTCCTTGATCTTTCCCTGCTTGCCCGGTCTGACAGCTTACTCTCCTGGTCCCGCTCATTTGAGTCCACGCGTGCGATTCATGTGGGAGATATTACCGTGTCGCGTGCGCCCGCTCCAAGGCGCGCACTGTCCTGTCCCGTCAGAGCCTCCCTCCGCCACCCCTGATCAGTCGACCGGGCGGGGTTGCAGAGCCACGTGACTGTGCCGCCGGCGCTGCAGCTGAGCCTCGGTCCAATCAACGAGTACCTGCCGCCACCTCCTGCCCCCACCCCGTCAGTGAGCCGCCGCCGGGCCGCATCGGCCTCTGTCACCCCACCCCCTCCCGTCCGCCGCCGCCGCCGCCGCCTCCTGCCCTCCCCCCCCCCCCCCGCCCGCCTCCGCCTCCTGCCCCCCCCCCCCGCCAGTGAGCCGCCGTCGGGCCGCCTCTGCCTCTGTCACCTCTCCCCCGCCGCCGCCTCCTGCCCCTCCCCCCCCCCCCATCATCATGAGCCGCCGTCGGGCCGTCTCAGCCTCTGCCCCCCCCCCCCCCCCCTCCCCCGCTTCCCTGCCGCCTCGGTGAGCCCAACGTTGGGCCGTCTCTGTCTCTGTCACCCCCCCCCCCCCTCCCCCCTCCCCGCATCATGAGCCGCCGCCGGGCCGTCTCTGGCTCTCATCCCGCTACCGGCGCCGTCCGGCCCTCCGGTGCCACCGCTGGCCACTGCTGCCAGCTGTGCGGCGCTCCCTAGTGGCTCCCCGGGCATTGTCACCTCAGGACGCAACACCAGATGCCCCGCGCGCCTGTGCCTCGCGGCTGCATCCCCTGGGACTGGCTGACTGACGCCGGCTGCCGCTGGGCGCCGTGGGGTCACCAGCGCCTGAGGACATTGGGTCCTGGTGCTGAACACTGGAAAAAGTCCTGCTTCGATGTTGGTAGATTGTATGTGCTTCTCTATGATTTGCTGAGACCCGCCGCGCGTCCCGTTAGAACAACGTGTGCCGTGCTGTTTCCCAGCCGCTTATGGTGGGCTCGGGGACAACCGCAATCACGAGAAATGACCGCGAAGGGGCGGGGAACTCTACGATTTTAGCGCGTGGTATTCTTGGATTATGCGGCGGTGATGTGTGAGCGCAGAAGTACGCGGAGGAAGAACCGAGTAGTGTCTTTAAGCGTGCCACGCGTCCAAGCATTAACGATACGAAGTGTTCCACATTTACGGCTTTTGCCTCAGAAGTGATTGCATCGCGTGTCAGCTTCTTCGCGCAATTGCTCTTGTCTTGCGACTTCCTCGCGTGCCCACAGTGCATGCTATTCTCGACCGGAGGTTATCACGCTGTCCCGACACGCGCCGGTGCTACGACATTATTTGCTCCATCCTTTGTGTCGTCGCTCGTGCTTCTGCATCAATGGGCGGGGTTCGCGGCCGTTCCGGCCGGGTAAGCGTGCCCCCCCCCCCCCTCCCCCTCCCCAGCGGCTGCATCTTGGCACCCGTGCCCCGCGCCACTATCGATTTCACAAACGGTCACGGCGGCGGCCGGCTGGCATCCGGGCGTCGCGCGCGCGCGACCATCGATCAGTGCGCCGCCTCTGCCACGTATCCGGCGGCGGCGACGGCGGCGGCGCGATCAATCGATGGGCGCCGCCCGAGCTCCGGGCCTCGGCGCCCACTGACGCGCCGGCTGGCCTCCCTTTCAGAGCAAGGTTTCGTCATCGCGCAGCAACTCGACCCAGTCGTTCGATGAGGCGCTCAAAGAGGCCGAGGCCGCCAAGAAGCAGGCGGAAGGCGCCGCGCCCGCCGCCGCCCCAGAAGAGAAGCCACAGTAGTGGCGCCGCGGCCGGTCGGGTCGGCGAGTTCAGTTTCTTCCCCGGACCGCCAGGTGGCCACCTCCGCTGCTCGGCATCGAAAGTGTCTCATTCCAGTGCAGTTATTTCGTTGAAAGTCAAAAGCAGTTTATTTACACGTGCGTGATAGTGAAGTCGGTTGTTGTGTTTCTATTGCAACGTGTGTGAAAAGGTGGCGAAAACTGGGTGTCCTGAGCCCGTCTACGACTGCGTGGGTCACGAAAAAATTAACGCATTTTAACGCCTGGCTAGTGCATGCTTCGCGAGGGTGGGTTCCAGCTAAAGTTGTACAGATTATCATGTAACTGGTGCAGCCTTATTGAATGGCATGATATCGCGAGTACATCTGGGGTGGTGTGTTTATTATATCAGAGCTAACCTCTGTTTTATCATGGCATCGAAGATCTGAAGCATTGAGCATGAGTTCACCAAAGTTCGACTCTCGTCATGGAGAGGCGGGTGATCTGGCAAAGGTCTAACCGAGCTCGGTCGCCAGCACGTCTCAGATTCATTAGCCCGTGTAGCCCTCCTTTGTTTTTCACTCCTTCGCAGTGGTGTGGTAACTGGGTAGCATGTGATAGATTGGTATTGAATAAATTGATCTAAAAGGGCGTATGTTTTCCGTCGCCGACCATGGGCAGCAGGAACCCCGTCTGTATAGTGCATTGGGCTGGTTTGAAGTTCTCTGAATGGTTTGAGGTGTGCGCGGGGCTAAGAGCGCCAGTCCGAGCCGTGAACGTTGTCGTCGTACGGCTGACTCCCGCACTACAACACGACAACCGAGCCAATTTCCTTTTTAATATACTTTCTCGCCTATGAGAGAGCCTTGCCTAAGACAGCAATGTGCGGAGGCCTTGGATCGAAAAACTCAAAACTGTCTTATTTTTTAGGCTGACGCACGCGAACTTTTGCAGCCTATTTCGCACCGTCACTTGAAAGTCATTGAAGCATGCATAAACGTCGCGTGAATGCCCCACCCCATTAGCCGTATCATGCTCATGGTCGAGAAAAAGCATGGCCACTGAGATGTTCGTGTTTGCATTGCGACAGCTTCAAGTGCCCCAACGGAAACAGGGAAACTGAGCTGGCGATTGCACATCTCGATCACGCTTTGGTCGTTTGGTCGTTTGTATGGCGACCGCTTCGGTCCGTAATGACCATTGCAGGGCTATGGGATGAAACGGAATGGATAGCGGCAAGGCAGGGCTGCATGCACGCGGGGACCCAACGGTCGGGACTAAGTCCGCATAGTGACCCCCTCTGCGTGGCGTGCGCTTGGCGCTCGCACGGGGAGCCCCCCAGGGGCCGTTCGGCCCGTTGGTAACTGGCGCATGCAGCCTGCTCCGGGTGGGCCGGCAGTCGCGGGGATGCGGACTAAAGCAAGACAAAGGATAAAAGGGTGGATCCTTGGTGACGAATCGCGCTTTATGACATAACACAGACATTCAGGCACCGGCACTAGTAATGGCAGACGTGAGGCTGAGAATCGAACAACTTTAACGGAGTTAGTGATCCACATTTGTATGGGTTTTTAATGGGGATTTTATAGATCATTTGGTGCAGTTCACAGCCCTGCTCTTCTCGAGACCCTACAACCCTGTAGTTTCTGAGCCACACGCGCGCAAAGATGTGTAGGCTATTTCGTATAGGCGATTTTAAGGCTGTTCAGGCATATACGACGCCATAGCAGAATCGTGTCAGATCGTGCCATCCCACAGGCCATGCGGCGTTCAAGGTCGGAAAACATTACCGTCGAGCCGTTTAGAGCTAGCGTCCGTGGGCATGATATCCAAATATAGCAGACGTTAATTGGCTGTCAGTCGATGTTGAGCAAGCTGTGGGAGTTTAAATCACAAATCACGTTTCGTGCTGTATTTGGAGGCCCTTCGGACACCAATCTGAAGTTTGACCTTGTTTCACCCTGTTTTACTCGAGGGTTATGACCCAAGAATATCAAATTTTGACGCAAGTGAGTTCACATACTGAAAACTGATCCTGTAAGATAAATATATCAAATTCTTTCAGCTTTTGATATCTCAAGGGGCCAAAATGCGCCCCACCCGAGCGAAAGATATGTACCGGCTACCTGGGCGCGTATTAAATAAAGCAACATTTAACATGGGAGGCGCTGCGACCTAAATCCAACGAAGGACATCTTAGATTGTGTAATTCGGCCAAATGGCTCTGCCGCCAAACCCCGTAACGGGAACCGTTAATGTAGTCGGATGTTTGCCGCCCCAGCGAAACGAAACACATGTGTTTCGTTTCGCTGGGGCGAAACGTATGGTGCCTGCCGTATGGAGCAGTGCACACACCAACGCTACAGCACCCCTTATCCTTGCAATATAAAGCCGTGTTTGGTCTCCCCGCCAGATAACACGAAACAACTGAGCGGATGAAAGATGCAATAAACTTTACACAGTTGGGCCATAAGACACGCAAAGGTGTGAGAGGCTAAACTGAAAAGCTCCGGAATGCAGGAGCGACCGAAGTGCCTTATGGCTAGCTCTGTCCCCGTCCTCCACAGCCATCAATACGTGCCGTCGCCCCTGGCCGCCACAAAAGTATGCTTTCGGCGCCCCAAGGTGGCTTCTAGAGTGCCGCCCTTACTTTCATACCAGAAGGGCATGTACCTCCAGTGCCCCCTCCCTCTGGATCCGTTCCTGCAAGACTACTATGCTTCTTCAATTGAAGACCTCTTTAAATGATACAAAAAGTATCAATATAAAAGGCCTTTCGCCAAAGCCTAGTGGGCTAAAATCGTTGAGAACAAGAGGGTTAGGTCATCGGGCCGCGGCTCGGCTTCCCGATCGGTTACATGAATCAACACCCCTGTTCCGTGACGTAATGGAACGATGGCGTGATAAGGAACATGGAATATTTAGTGCAATTTTGCTATTTAGAGCGGTCTTGTACTGAAAAAGCACTACAATAATTGCGAGTGAGTTTTTTCCATCATGTATGATGCTGGCCCCAATATCCTCAAATGCGGAACGGTCCCTTGTCCCTTGAGTTACCCACGCAAGGCTGTCCTGTTTAAAGCGGATTCTCTTTTGCACTGATTTATAAGGAATCTTTGATGAACATTCTTTTGTAGAAAGTAGTTTCTCGTTAGTAGTCTTGGTTGCAAAGTGGGAAGTTTGCCCCAAGTTCAGCTCAAAAGGCCGCTGATGTCGTCCAAGTGTATGTTTAAGAACGATCGTTCATGCGGGTACCCCGCACGGCACAAAAATAATTGCACACCGCTTTGTAGCCTGACCGCGGTCCTCTCACAGGGCCTCCTTGCGCCTGTACCCCGAGGGCTGCGCTCTCGACTCTGGCTCTGAACCTCATACCACACCGGTGCGCAGGCGGCCGGCCAGCACCGCGCCGTACCCGGAGACATCGTATGGCTCAGTCGTATTTGTGCAGCCTTCTTCTATATACTGGTGTACGCGCAGCTACATTCACTGCGCTCTTACGAGGCAATACCCGTTGTTTACAATTTCTCCTGGATGTTGAATCGATCCGCCCGGCGTGGCAAGATGTTCTCAACACCACAATAGGGCGTCCGACCAGTACCACTATGTCCAGGGTGGCCCCAGCGCCCCGCAGGGGAGGACTGCAGAGCACAGTACTCGCCCCATGCTCCCGGCAGCGGGACAGGACAGCGGGACACGGCCAGCGGAGCTGGACCATTGCGTCATCCGATCAGACCACAGCCCGCACCGCACATCAGGGAACGGCGAGGCAGCGGTGCCGCACGTCATCCGATCAGACCACAGCCCGCACCGCACCGCACATCAGAGGGGCGGCGAGGCAGCGGTGCCGCACGTCATCCGATCAGACCACAGCCCGCACCGCACATCAGGGGACGGCGTGGCAGCGGTGCCGCACGTCATCCGGTCAGACCACAGCCCGCACCGCACCGCACATCAGAGGGACGGCGTGGCAGCGGTGCCGCACGTCATCCGGTCAGATCACGGCCCGCACCGCACCGCGCATCAGAGGGGCGGCGTGGCAGCGGTGCCGCACGTGTGCGTGCTCGGCTCGGGTCGGAGCAGGTAACATCGGTGACGCTTCTCAAATGCTGTTGCAGGCAGTCGGGCGGCGATTTGTGTGGGGCAGCTTGCGGACGGGGGCGGTCATTCGCCGAACTTTGTTAGAAATAGTTCTGAAAGAGGCAACGTAGTCGTCACTATTGCTAAATACAGGTATGTTGAAAATATGCACGAGCATGTGGTGGGGAGTTTGAAGATTCATTTGGGTTTGCAAAAAGATAATCACTTAAACAGCAGTAAAGCAAATAGTTATGAGAGCGTTAGTCTTGTGTGGTATGAACTGTCCTCGACTTTTCGCTCCGACAGACGATTTTTCGGCGTATTCCGAGCGGCCTGTGGGCTGGGATCGAGGACCTAATAGCAAACCTTGATGCCGTCGCTCTGACCAGGACTGGGGAACTATGAACACGACTGTACCGAGGTGTTATCTATGCTGTCTCCGTAACTGCACCCGACGCTCCAGACTGTACCTCCGTTCAGTCATCCCATGCGACGGGAATGGCCGATATCCCCCCTCCCCCCTCCCCCCACACACTCCTGCCCCGCGGCCCTCACCTCGAGCTGCGCTGACGAGCCGGCTTCGTGCTTTGTCTCCGATAGATGGCTCTGGCGCTCCTGGCGCTGGCGCAGCAAGGACCGATTCAACGGCGGGCCTGCGAGACAGTAAAACAGTTATTGCCGGCACCGGCCGATAATAAAATACAAAATGCAGCTGGGCTCACATCTCACAGTAACCATTCTATCGTCATTCCGCTACCATCCTCTCTAGGTGTTCTATAAACATCTCCCTCAACCACTTCTAGCTCTCACTCTCCATATTTGCCGCGCTCGCCAATGCGCGTTCTGCGTCATTTCACAAATCTGCTTGAATGTGTAGCAGCGATGTGTTTGTGATTGAAGTCCTTGACGATTCTAGCTGCTTGGCTTAGGAAGACCGTAGTTCTACCACACAAGAAGAACGACCCCAGTTCAACGGACAGCTGTTGAATGATTTCGACGTGTCACGCAGTGCCGTGACACGGCCGACCCTGTCTCGGCCTGGCTCTCTTGGCCAGCTGCCAGCTGTTAAAGACGAGTCACATAGGCTGGATTTCTGAGACGCTGGCCGGGTCGCCTGCCACTGATGGCGGAGTGTTCAACACTACTAGCTAAGCTTCGGGCACCATATTTCCGTCACTTTCGTAGGCTCGGCCGCTCATCTCCACATTCACCTTCAGCGAAGA